GCAATCGATTTTATGGTGGAACCCCTTCTTCATGGTATCTGAGCAGGTTGTCCTGTGTGTGAAGCTCACCAACTATATGTGCTTGACTTCACCCGATTTGTGTTGTCCACATGCTAGGCTTAAAAATTCACCACATATGAGCGGACGTGTTGAGAGTATCAATCATACATTAGGAAAAAAAGGACCTTGCATGTGCTTATAAGACGTTTGGCAAATCTCATATTACCAATTAATTTTATGATGAAAGCTCTTTTTTTTTTTTTCACTTCTAATATCATCCTTGACATTATTGCCATCACTAATATTTCTTATGTATTTATGATCTAATTATATTCAAAGCCGCCTTTGGGGGAGTGCGACCGGTTCCATGGCACAGGGCCCTAAAATTTTGGGGCCCACAAAAATATTTTTTTATTGAATTTAATAATATATATAAAATAATATATAGAAATACTAATCAAATCAAATATATACATATAAAAATATGACAGGCCTAAAAGCCATCAGACTGCTACCTAGAAGCCATCAGAGTCAGATTACTACCTAAAAGCCATCAGACTGCTACCTACAACTAACCGAGGTAAACAATTCAGAGACAAACTACTTTTCCCACACCAAAATCCCATTGTTGTGTTCCACTTTTCTTCTTTTCACACTAGACTACCAAAGCACGGGAGGTCAGAATCCCAAACATTAATCATGAATGAACCCTTTAGATGCCAACAAAGTTTGCAACTCTTTATTGAAGATATTGCCTTAACATTAATCATGAATGAACCCCTTAGATGCCAACAAATATTTTTATTAACTTCTTGTTGAGAGTACAAATCCCACATCAAGAAAGAGATCGATCTTGCATGTGCTTATAAAAGGTTGGACTACTCTTCATTACCAATTAACCTCAACTTTCTTCATGGTTTCAGAGTAGGTTGACCCAAGTATAAAAATTAATGGTCATACGTGCTCCACGTCACCCAATTTGTATTGTCCATGTATTTGGTTTGAGAATTCGTCATGTGAAGGATGCGTGTGAGGATGTGAAAGTTAAAGAGTCCTACATCGTAGAGGGAGAAACCTTGCCATTGATCATATGTAAGTTGGCAATCGGTTTTGTGGTGGAACCCCTTCTTCATGATATCTGAGCAAGTTCTCCTATGTGTGAAGCTCACCGACTATACGTGCTTGACTTCACCCGATTTGTGTTGTCTACATGTTAGGCTTAAAAATTCACCACACGTGAGGGGACGTGTTAAGAGTATTAAACATACATCAGAAAAAAGAGGTCTTGCATGTGCTTATAAGAGGTTTGACAAATCTCATATTACCAATTAATTTTATGATGAAAGCTCTTTTTTTTTTTTTTCCACTTCTAATATCATCCTTGACATTATTGCCATCACTAATCTTTCTTATGTATTTATGATCTAATTATATTTAGAGTCGGCTTTCTTGGAGTGCGACCGGTTCCATGGCACAGGGCCCCTAAAAATATTTTTTATTGAATATAATAATATATATAAATACTAATCAAATCAAAATATGTACATATAAAAATCTGACAAGCCTAAAAGCCATCAGAGTCAGACTACTACCTAAAAGCCATCAGACTACTACCTACAACCTATACAAAAATATATAAAATAACAAAGGGCTAAGTTAATCAATTAAAGTGGAGAACCCCACTAAACGAGGCAAATAATTCAGAGACAAACTACTTCTCTCATGCCAAAATCCCATCGTTGCGTTTCACTTTTCTTCTTTTAACACCAAACTACCAGAGGATAGGAAGTCAGAATCCCACATTCATAATGAATGAACCCTTTAGATGCCAACAAATATTTTTATATCTCAAGTTTGCAAATGTTTATTAAAGATATTGCCTTAACATTAATCATGAATGAACCCTTTAGATGCCAACATATATTTTTATTAACTTCTTGTTGAGAGTACAAATCCCACATCAAGAAAGAGATTGATCTTGTATGTGCTTATAAAAGGCTGGACTAGTCTTCATTGCCAATTAACCTCAACTTTGTTCATGATTTCAGAGTAGATTGACCTAAGTGTGAAAATTAATGGTCACACGTGCTCCACGTCACCCAATTTGTATTGTCCATGTATGTGGTTTGAGAATTCGCCATGTGAGGGAGGCGTGTGAGGATGTGAAAGTTAAAGAGTCCTACATCATAGAGGGAGAAACCTTGCCATTAATCAGAAGTAAGTTGGTAATCGATTTTATGGTGGAACCTCTTCTTCATGATATCAGAGCAGGTTATCCTGCGTGTGAAGCTCACCAACTATACGTGCTTGACTTCATCCGATTTGTGTTATCCACATGTTAGACTTAAAATTTCACCACACGTGAGGGGACGTGTTGAGAGTATCAATCATACATCAGGAAAAATAGGACCTTACTTGTGCTTATAAGAGGTTTGGCAAATCTCATATTACCAATTAATTTTATGATGAAAGCTCTTTTTCATTTTTCTTTTTTTCAATTCTAATATCATCCTTGACATTATTGCCATCACTAATTTTTCTTATGTATTTATGATCTAATTATATTCAGAGTTGGCTTTGGGGGAGTGCAATAGGTTCCATGGAACAGGGCCCCAAAATTTTGGGGGCCCCCAAAAATATTTTTTATTGAATATAATAATATAGATATAATAATATTATATATAATAGATAGAAATACTAATCAAATCAAAATATATACATATAAAAATCTGACGAGCCTAAAAGCCATTAGACTACTACCTAAAAGCCATCAGACTACTACCTACAACCTGTACAAAAATATATAAAATAATAATTCACAAAGGGCAAAGTTAATCAATTAAAGTGGAGAACCCCACTAACCGAGGCAAACAATTCAGAGACAGACTACTTCTCTCACTCCAAAATCTCATTGCTGCGTTCCACTTTTCTTCTTTTCACACCAGACTACAAGAGCACAGGGAAGTCAAAATCCCAGACGTTGTGCCAGTGTCCCAAACTCCCAATGTAATTCCCTTCTCTCTTCGTCCCATTGTTATATTTCCCACACATTATTAAACCCTAATTTATAAATTTATGAAATTAAAGAGAAACTTCCAAATTATTAGAGTGACGTAGACTTCGATCAAAGTAAGATATTTACTAATTTAAGTATATTGACGCAAAATTTGAAGATTTGGGTATTTCTCATCTATAATGATTTTTTTTTTATTTTTTTGGACTTTTCAGGGCAAAATCAAGAGAAGAGCAGTCACAAAAAAATGCTAGACGCACACGTTTTACGGACTATCAGGTTTCATTGTTCATACTTACTATAATTTTATTGTGATCTTGTTTGAGATATAAAACATGGCACCTACTAGAAAATATCCATCTGGCTACTTAACGCATCAAAGAAAAAGAAAAGTTGAACAATTGATTCAGTCTCAAAAAATGAGCTATTGATAGGTTCTTTTTGAAAGAAAAAGAACCACAAAGTTCAGTGGATGATTTAATTACGGAACAATAGGATGACAATGAGAAATTAGTTGATGATTTGGGCAATGATGAAATGATGATGACCTTGATGAGAATGATAATCATGAGGATGCTCTTATTGTCACTGATCAACCAAGTAAGTCCATTCCCTCAAACATTTATGATCCTCAAATTTGGGATAGTCTTGATCCCAAATGGATTGATTTGTTGGCCGAAAAAGGTCCTGCGAGAGATCTATCAATTAAGAAAGGTCCTAAAGATCAGTTTAATATACGTTTTAATGCAACCTTTTACACTCGATACTTATCCAATGGAGAGAAACATGATAGAGATTGGCTAGTCTATTCAAATGATGTTGATACTTTTGTTGTAAATTGTTCAAGAAAGGGCCTCTCAAAGGTGAATTAGCAAATGAGGGCTACAAAGATTGGACACATCTCAATGTGAGGCTTAAAGAGCATGAAAACAATTTTGATCGCATCTTGAACATAACCACTTGGATTGATTTACGTCTTAGATTGCAGAAAAACGAAACAATTAACAAAGTTATGCAAGATCAGATCAAGAAAGAAAAAGAGCATTGAAGGGAGTTACTACAAAGGTTGATTTCCATTGTGAAATATTTAGCTTAACACACACTGACTTTTCGTGGAAATAACGATACGCTTTATCAAGAAAGTAATGGAAATTTTATGGGCCTAGTTCAAATGATGGCTGAATCTGATTCATTGATAAAGAATCATCTTCAACGCTTCGAAAATAATGAGATTTGTTATCATTATCTTAGTCATATCATCCAAAATGAGTTGATATTGTTGATATCTTGTGAAATCAAAGCTGCAATCATTCAAAAAGTCAAAGAAGCTAAATATTTTACAGTGATACTTGATTGTACTACTGATTTTAGCCACCAAGAACAAATGACCTTGATCATAAGATGTGTGGATATGAACAGTACTCCAATAAAAGTAGAAGAATTTTTTTTTTTGCAATATCTGATTATGAATAACACATCAGGAGAATGACTGTTTGAAGAGTTGCAAAATGTATTAAAAGTTCTTGATCTTGATATTGATGATGTAAGAGGGCAAAGTTATGATAATGGATCAAATATGAGAGAGAGACATCAAGGTGTACAAAAGAGGCTTTTGGATATAAATCATAGGGCAATGTACACTTTATGTGGTAGCCATAGTCTTAACTTCACGCTTTGTGATATGGCAAACTCTTGTGGCATAGCGAAAGACTTCTTTGGAACAGTACAACGTATTTACAGCTTGTTCGCAAATTCTACAAAACGATGGCTGATTTTGAAAGAAAATATAAAAAGACTGACTCTCAAATCATTGTCGGCCACACGATAGGAAAGCCGTGTTGTGAGTGTTAAAGTAATTCAATCCCAACCTTTACAAATAAAAAAAGCTTTACTCCAATTAGCAGAAAGTGACAATGACTTAGTAACAAGAAGTGCAACTAAATCTTTGGCAACATTCGACATTGGGAATTTTGAGTTTTTATTGGGCATGACAATTTGGTATGAAATATTGGCTGCTGATAATGAGGTTAGCAAATATTTGCAATCAAAAGACATGCTTATTGATGTTGCTATACAACAAGTACAAGGATTGATCATTTATTTTGAAAAGTACAGAGAAATTGGGTTTGCGGAGGCTATGATTAATGCTAAAAAACTTGCTATTGAAATGGAAATTGATCCCATGTTTCCAGAAAAGCGTCAAGTTTGTAGAAAAAGACATTTTGATGAGAATAAAGGTGAATCATCCCAACCAACTGAACAATCAGCATTGTACATAATAGATCAAACTATTGGTTCACTGAAGAGAAGGTTTGAAGAATATCAAGTGTATGATGATATATTTGGGTTTTTGTTCACTTCAGAATGGTTGAATTCGATAGACAATGATAAATTGAAAGATTGTTGTGATTGGCTTCAAAACTTTCTCAAGAAAGCTGAACTCTTTGATGTTGATGGGGATGCATTATTAGTAAAGTTGAAGTTTTTACGAGAGCGTTTGCCAAAAGAAATAAAGACACCCATTGACATATTGAACTACTTGAAGAGGATGCATTGTTTATCGACTGCAAGCATTGCATACAGAATTTTGTTGACTGTACCTGTTATCGTTGCATCTGCAAAAATGAGTTTCTCAAAGTTAAAGTTATTAAAATCATACTTGTCAACCATGTTGCAGGAAAGGTTAAATGGACTTGAAAGTGATTTTTTAGACAAAATTGATTATGAAGGTTTAATTAATGATTTTGCAGTAAAGAATGCAGGAAGAGCCATCTTTAAGTGAAGCTTCAGTTGTAGACTTTTTTAAGTTTTGTTTATTTGGTTTCTTTAGATTGACAATATTGTTAGTTATTGGTACTATGGTTATTGTGTAGTTTTCTTTACATTTAATAATATTAAGAAACAGATAGTTAGTTTTAAAGTTTATTTCGATATTGTTTTTTAGCATCAATACGTTATTCAATTTTTTTTAAGATGTCTTATATGAATGGCTCCTTTTATGAAATTCGCACAGGACCCCGAAATCTCAAAGACGGCCCTAATTATATTGTCATAATTTTGACGAATGTGGACAAGACATTAAAGAATATGAAAACGTCTTATCCATTACAAAATGCAGCCAAAAATTTCTAAATCTGTATAATTGTCAAATCTTCTGTTCTTAGTTCTGTCATCTTGTTATTATTCAATCAACTTTCCTTGTCTGCTTGTCTCAGGGATTATTTCCACTTGCTAAAGATTTGATCCCTTTCAATGATTTTCTATTAAATTGATAATGATTCAAAGTAAAACAGCAACACATATACTTCAATGGCATCTTTGAGGTTAAGAATTTCTATCCTGGCTTTCTGTACTTGCCTAGTTATTCAGTGCAGCTGCTATGGCCATTCTGTGCTTCAGAAAAAGCATGCAGCCCTATTCATCTTTGGTGATTCATTTTATGATCCTGGAAATAATAACTACATAAACACCACCACTGATTTCCAGGCCAATTGGTTCCCATATGGTGAGACCTTCTTCAAGTATCCAACTGGCAGATTTTGCGATGGACGTTTAATCCCAGATTTTCTTGGTAAGAATCTTAATCATGCTGTCAATAATTTTTGTTGTTTAACTTTTTCAATACCCCTTCAAACACCTTTCCTGCTAACAATTACACCAGCATATTTAGTACATTTGCATTGATGTTGCAGCTCAGTATGCCAAGTTACCAATTATACCAGCATATTTACAACCTGGGTTGAACAACTATACTAATGGGGTGAACTTTGCTTCTGGCGGAGCTGGTGCTCTAGTTGAAAGTCATCAGGGACTTGTATGTGCTCTACCTTATAAAATGTTTTCCATTATTATTGGGAGCTTTCGTTTTTCCAATGAAATAGAGGATTAGGCGATAATAGCTAATAGGAGTAGAATGATGGGAGACAAAGCGTCCACCCTCAGTCCTGAAGCCGAAGGGTCTTGCACTCTCTGAGAGCACAGCGCCTATCCACTGAGAGTTTTTTGCTACAGTTGCAGCTTTCGATCATTGATTTTCCTTGTGCGAGAGAAATTCGGGCGGACATTTATCCATTTGGCATGACTTAATTTTGTTTTCCTTATTCTTTCCAGGTGATAGACCTTAAAACTCAAATAAGTCAATTCAGGATGGTGGAGAAGCTGTTGAGGCACAAACAAGGTGATGCAGAAGCCTACACAGTGCTCTCCAAAGCTGTTTACATAATAAGCATTGGAGCCAATGACTATATTTCGCCATTAGCATCCAATTTTAGCAATGAAGAATATGTTGGCTTGGTTATTGGCAACCTGACAATTTGGATCAAAGTAACATTTTGCCTTCTTTAACACACATACGTAACACATGATTTTTTTCTATGCTTGGTTTCTTCTTTTTCCGATAATTTGCAACAGCTCGTGCCCTTTTTTATTGATTATGAATTCAGAAAAATATTTGGATGAATGACTTCGTATACATTTTGTCAGGAAATATACAAGAAAGGAGGAAGGAAATTTGGATTTTCAACCTTGCCGCCTCTCAATGAAATACCGAGCCTGAGAGTACATAAACCAGGGGACACAAGCCCCTCAGCGGAAGAAGTTATACCACTAGTGAAACTACACAATAAAGCACTTGGAAAACTGCTCCTAAAGCTGAAGAGAGAGCTCGAAGGATTCAAATACTCAACCATTGATGTCCATACATACCTAAAACAAATTATAAATCGTCCATCAAAATATGGTATATATAGCTACCTACTGTACCTTCTTTTAGCTTTAGTTTCTCTTATTTGTTTTTTGTTTTCATAAGCTAATAAGTTATGTCTTTTCTAATTTTGTTATTATTTTGTTGTAAGGCTTCAGTGAAGGAAAGACGGCATGTTGTGGCTCTGGTCCATACGGAGCAATTGATTCTTGTGGAGGGAAGAGAGGAGTGACTAAGTATCAGTTGTGTGACAATGTTGCTGAATACGTATTTTTCGACTCTTTCCATCCAACCGAAAAGGTTTACAGGAAACTATCCAAGTTATGGTGGAGGCATAACTTGAAGGAGCTATTTGAAGTTTAGACATAATACATGGCTTGATACCAAAAGAAGGGGAGAATAAATTCTAATCAATAGCTGACTTGGTTCAGCCAATAAGAGTTGTAACTCTTCATTCAAATAAATCAGAGTGTGTTTTGCTTTTATCAAATATTCTTGTTTCTTTCATTCTTTTCTTTAAGTGAAATCTATAGAGGTGCGATATAGTTTGTAAACTTATCAGCAACATTATTTGGTATTAGTTTGAAAACTGAATACTAACATTGACGGAAGGGAGTGACAACGCTCCATATCGAGGAATTTTGAGCTGTGAAGGGAAGGGTCATAGATTGTGGTTTATGTCACAATGTTACTGAATATGTCTTCTTTGACTCTGGCCATACAATATCTTCTTTGTTTATTCCTTAAAATCCCAAAAGCCCTATCTGAAACTAATTTTTCTTTGCTAACACAATAGACCAGCCATCAGCATCTCCAAGATTTATTTTAAAACTTAGCTAGTTCTTTTTTCTTTTTTCATTTTTTTTTGAACAAAAAATATTATCTACACTAAGGAGTTGGGGGAGTGGGCTAAGTCTCACAATGGCTAGCAATAATGCGATTCAAATTCACCTTTGACGAGAACTCAACCTAAGACATCTCACTTAGAAGTAAAAATGAATACCATTATACCGTAGTACTAAGTGGTAAAATTTAGTTGGTTTAGCTAGTGAATAGTGTCAAAGAATTATTTTATCTAGCTATTTAACTTTCAAAATAAATAAATTTCATTAATTAAAAAGGCTAGTACAAGATAAAAAATTAAAAAAAAATCCCAAAAAGCAATCCAAAGCAACCAGGTACAAGAAAAACTACAACAATTTAAATACAATAAAAATGTCACTTAGTACTACGATCTAGAAGTATTCCTTTTCACTTGGAAGTGAGAGGTCTTAGGTTCGAATCTCATGGATGACGAATTCGTTACCAAATTAGGCTGCCTATTGTATAACTTAGCCAAACTCCCCATTTCCTTAGTATAAAAATATCGATGTACTCCAAAAATGCAATAAAAAGGCCCAAAAGTACCACTACAAGTAAAACCTAGATCTAGAAGATTGTTGGCTCCACCAAACAGATGCGCCCCCATCAAAAAGACTAGATGAACCCACAAACCAACAGATGCGCCCCCATCAAAATGACTAGATGAACCGGAAAGGGGGTGAACGAATCACCAATGCGAAAACAAAAAAAACAAAAAAACAAAAAAAACAACCGCTACTATGATCCTACTAAATAATAGTGCTAATAACACCTTTACACCACCCAACTCCAAAGCACTCCCAAGTCGAGTAGTAGAGGATAACAGAGAGGGAGAAGCAGTTGGGGTTGGTAAGGAGAGGGTGGGAGGGGAGGTTTGCCACTGACCCTCACCTAAAAGTAAGAGTCGACAACAATGGGAGTTAGCGTGCTTTTGTGCTTTCAGCAAGAGACGAATTGTTTTATTTCCCCAATTTAACTTATTATTTTCAACAACCCTCGCTATTTTACTAGGGCTGGAAACTTTTCCCTAAAATCCCAAACCAAACTGAAAAAATCTCAATCCCATAACGAAAAATTCACAAATCAATAATACCAAAATTTCGAGACTCCATACCGAAGCAATATTGAAATTTTCAGTAGGGATTCGGTTTAAGCAATGCACTGGTTCTGGAATCCGAAACAAAATCGATTTTTATTTTTTTATTTATAAGTCAGGGTTAATTTTCACCTGTTGGATTGCTTTAGAATAATTTGGGTTGTCCGTTTTTGTCATTTCATCTCTGCCTTCCAGCCCTACTCACTCTCGCACATTTCATCTTGCTTTTCTCATCTCTGCCTTCACTTAGAGTGTTAAACTCTCTCTTTTTCTTCTTCTCAAATTTTAAGCTCAGCAACCACCCACCCTCTCACAATCTCACTCCAATGAACTATCTCCACTCCGGCCCCCACCACACCTCACGACTTCATCCCCCTCATAACCACATCATCTTCGAATCTCCACCCTTCCTCCATCACGCACAATCACACAACCAACGCACATACACACTCTCTCTCCCGTTTCTCTCTTTCTAAGACTGTCTACGATTCTGTCCAATGATTCACTATATGTGGGGGTTTCAAATTGGGGGCTCAGGTTAAGAGGAGGATGCGGGTCTAACTATCCATTCACTCTGTCTCTCTCTCTCTTTCTCTCTCTCTCTTTTCCTTCAATCTTCACCGATTCACAGTCACTCTGTCTCTGATTTTAATTTGGCGTTATAATGCAAGTTCAGATGATTTTTGTTTCAATCTGGATGATTTGGATTTTGATGCAGGTCTAGTTCTGAGAAATCCCGAAATTCCAAAAAAAAAATTCAAGAATCCTGAAATTTGGGAATACTGGAATTTCGATTCCGGATCTGTTATCGGATTCCCATCCCTAAAATGATTGATTCGAAATTCTTTATGCCATTTTCAATTTGGTATCCCATACCAAACCAGCCCTAATTTTAACAAATTAACCTCACAAAAAAACCAACGCACCTCTTGGGAGAGAGAATGTGAGTTTTAATAGTTTGTTAATATTTTGCTTTTGTTATTTTCTCTCTCCCCTTTTTAAATTTAAAGAGTAACTCTTTATTTTGTTAAGTTAGATTGTCTTCATAAAGATTAATAAATAATCAATCGAAGCATCCAAATGATTTCAATTAACAGAAAAATGCACACACATATACTAAGTGCTCATTCAAGCAACTTAAACATATTATTGTCATTCAAGTTATGGTTTAATTCCAATCTCATCAACCAAAACACATATTCATGGAAGATAGAACAATACTTTAATAGATTCATGCAAGTCTACTTTTGTTGATGCATAAAATCAATGAAGACTTCAGAACAACGTAAAGTGTCAAGGGTTTGTGACTTTCGCTTGGTTGCTTCGGTCACGTAGTGAGGATAATATGTAAAAAGATAAAGATAGGGAAGTAAACACAAGATGAACATGGTTCACCCTAAGTTTGGCTATGTCCACGGAGTAAAGGAGTTCTCATTAATAGTGAAGGGTTTACCCAAATACATAGGTTCAAGCATGCGTCTCATAAATGAGTTCTAATGAGTAGTTTTGTACAAGTATGACATTCGAGATTCATAGTAGGAGAATGGTCTCCTTTTATAGTTGAGGAGAGTCTTTAGCTTTATTCTAACGTTGACATGTGTCATGCTATGATTGGCCTCTGATTTTGACATATGTCGCGCTGTGATTGGCCTCTGACGTTGACATGTGTCGCGTTGTGATTGGACTTCTGGTTGGAGGGAAACTCTTGTGCTTTGGCAAGGGTGCCTCAGCATGAACCCCTCAGTGGGTCCTTCACGGTATGACATTGACTGGTGCTTGGTAGTTTCGAGATTGGTCAAGTATGGTACAAACAGTGCTCTCCTAAGTTTCTGAGTGAAGGAAGTTTCTTAGTTCAGGACTTGCAAAATCTAAGTCAATAATAATCACAAAACTTCTAACAACCGAAATGTAGTAGCATATAAGTGTACGAGCAAGCTGTGACGTTGATGCTAGCTACCACTCCAATCATTGTCCCTTGCCTTATCTGTCCCTCAAGTAGAAGTGGTATGTTCTCTAATTTTCCCCCTAAGATGATGTATCATTTTCACTTGCCTTATCTATAGCTTCAGGATTGGTGAAGTACGGTATAAACCATATAATGGGAGTCCCTCCAAGTCTTGGAGCAAGGAGAATTGCCAAAAGAGGTGCATTACTTATTGTTGACTTTCCACAAGCTTGGTCTTGAACTAGGCTGAAAGGTTTTTTAAAGAGCCATCAAGGTTTGGTCTTGAATGAAACGGACCACGAACGGTTTCACATGGTGAATGATCTTCCAAAACATCACTTCTCAGCAACTCATCCATGTTTGGCAGCTTCAATCTAAAGAGCCTATATCATATCAACTGTTCTGAGGTATTTGCTGAGGAAATTCGAGACCTAACAACAGTTGAAGATAAGTACTCGAGAGCAATGCAAGGTAAGCAACCATGCAAAGGTTCCAGCCAATCAGTTCCAGATTGGAAGTTTGATTTCAGGTTCTGACTGTTTGCTTTCTTTCTCCTTGTCTTGCAGGTAAAAGCAAAGGCAAAGGAAAAGATAGGGAAAAAGCTTGATATGAAATGAGTTGAGCATTTTGAGTCACTTGGTTGAAGATGTATTCTCGGAAAGGAAGAAAATAGAGCATTTCGAGATGCTTTGTTGAAGATGCATTCTCTGAGAGGAGGAAGAGTTAAGCATTCTCACAAGTCTACTTTGCTACAGAGGATGGAGGTCGACATATATAGGGATTTTCTAATAGCAAATAGTGGTGTTGTTCCTTTACTCTTGTCAGTAACAATGGTGTAGTTGGAACTGCAAAATTAACGCGTTTCAACTTTGTCAGAGATCTTTGACAAAGTTACCCATGGTATCCAAAAAGTTGAGATGGCGTATGAAAAGTGCCAACAAACTTTATTCAGGAAAATATGGCTTTTGAAATTCAAAAAGCGGTGCCTCTTCGATTTTTGAACAAGTGGCGACGTTGAAGATGCATTCTCAGAGAGGAGGAAGAATTAGGCATCCTCATAAGTCTGCTTTGCCATGTAGGATAGAGGTCAACATATATAGGGATTTCTTACTAACAAGTAGTGGTGATGTTCCCTTACTCTTGTTGGTAATGGTGGTGTAGTTGGCACTACAAAATTCACGCGTTTCAACTTGTCAAAGATCTTTGACAAAATTTCCTGTGATATCCAAAAAGCTAAAATTGCAGTATGAAAAGTGCCAACAAACTTTATTCAGGAAAATCTGGCTTTTGAAATTCCGATAGCTGGTGCCTCTTCAATTTTTGAACAAGTGGCCATGTTGCCTCTTCTTTTATAGAGGCATCAATTGTGTTCACAAAGCTTGCTCAAAAAGTTGTTACCTGTAGAAATTTCCCCTTTTTTGCACTTCTGAGATTTGTCTAACCTCCTTATCTTTCATCATTTCTGAAAATGGTTTGCCCATCTGACCGTCGTTTTGATTTGAATGTTGTTGAAGAGGCAGACATGTCTCTTTAAGACAAGATATGGCACCCATCTTTCTTATCCCCTAACGGTCCTCTTACAGTTGGGGACTCTATGATGAAAAATGACATATCCGCTACGGTGATGGCTAGGAATCCTCTCACTCCTAAGGATAACATGATACTTTCTAAAAGGTCTGATAAGTTGGTTGTTCAAGACTCTCTAGCTTTCAATTTTCAATGTGTGAGCTCTGTATCCAATATGGGCCAACGCCTACTTGCTCGAACTT